ATAGAGAGAGAGGGAGAGAAAGGGGGAGAGAAAGAGAGAGAGAGAGAGAGAGAGAGAGAGAGAGAGAGAGAGAGAAAGAAAGAAAGAGAGAGAGAGAGAGAGAGAGAAAGAAACAGAGAGACGTAGTGTGTTGTCGTTTTCGAGTTTTAGCAGAAATTTTGTCATAGTGAACTGACCAAAAAGCTGCTGCATGCAGCCTGTGAAAACTATAATAAGACGTCGTGCGCACGTTTTGCATTACTGACAAAGCTGACCGACAATTACAACACATCTGTTCACTAACATGTCTCTTGTTACCCGTAACCTTTTCATTGTGCGTGCAAGTCTTTTCTGATGCCGAATAATGTACAGCCCTATCGGACCAGTTTAAGGTCTAAATATACGAACCACACAATACATTCAGACGCACAATGGACAGAAACGGCTCCACTCAGACAAAGCACGGGCAAAAAATAGTTTTCCTAGTCATTCTGCTTACATCCGTACCTTATTCTCTAGAGACAAAAGGTGACGTAATTGCTTTCCACGCGCACAGCTTTGGAGCAATATAAATAGATAGGCCCATCTCATGAAGTTTAGGCAGTTGAGGCGAAGGCAGAGAGGGAGGACACAACGCAGTGAGCGAGATGAAGACAGCGATTCTAATTTTACTTCTTGGGCTGTTATTGAATGGTGAGTACAGACTAGAGTTAGCTTTCGTGATGAGTTGCATGTGCCGATGCGCGAAGCTTCTACTGCTTACCACTACGTTTATAGATCGAGTCACACGTGATAATAGATTCAGCATTGATCATGCCTTACTCTGTTTAGTACGCGGTTTCTCTAATCAACTCTCATGAGTGTGACTCTCCCATAAACGGATCATGCATTCTTCTGTTTAGTATGTGGTTTTATAATTTCTCTAATCAACTCTCATGAGTGTGACTCTCTAATTCACCTATAAACGGATCATGCATTATTCTGTTTACTACGTGGTTTTAGAATTTCTCTATCAACTCTCATGAGTGTGACTCTCTAATTCACCTATAAACGGATCATGCATTATTCTGTTTAGTACGTGGTTTTAGAATTTCTCTATCAACTCTCATGAGTGTGACTCTCTAATTCACCTATAAACGGATCATGCATTATTCTGTTTAGTACGTGGCTTTAGAATTTCTCTATCAACTCTCATGAGTGTGACTCTCTAATTCACCTATAAACGGGTGTAGTGTACGTGATCCTGTTGGCCAATGAGTGCATGGAGTTGTTATACTGTTACCTTATAGTTGATCCCCACTGTAACATATAACTTTCATAATTTCAAGTGAAAATAACATCACTGATTTAGTTATAATTTACGTTGTACATCATATATCAAACGATGTGTGACAAATTCGAATAAAATTTAAATTTTACCATTCTGGATGATTGGCTACCCATGCTACTGTGTACTGCTGACTGCACGAACTATGTCGATACCAACTGCTACCTACGTTACCATGAACTTATCAGGAGTAGATAATAGTAGATAACTTCTATTATCTACTCCTGAACTTATTATAGAATATAGTCATGAACATATGTGACATATGTATACATAGTTCATTATACAAATGTTAATGTTACAGTTATAATATGCACAATAATGCACAATATCACAATGTTACTGTCTATTGCCTTCAGAGCTATTCCGCTACTTGTTACTAACTATAGCCTTTCTAGTTACTCCCATTGCCTAGATAACGACAGCGATGGTAAACGCATTTCTTACGTTACAGGTATAACGAGCCAAACGAGCTTACCGGAAGGAACTTTCGAGTTGGTTTTCCCGACAAAGAGTAACGACAGCTATGCTACATCAAACAGCTCGCTGCCTCGGCTCAACACATTTACTGTCTGCCTGCGCGCACGCACGATCAGCAGCGGCGCCAATCTCACTGTCCTGTCCTACGTCGGCGAGCCGGCAGAGGGCGCTCTGTTTGCCGTCTACATCGCACCAGAAGGCGTCGGATTTGACATAGGAGACTCCAACGCGTGAGTTACAACACCGTCACGAGCGTGCGCTTACCGCTTACGCTTAACTGTCTATATGCTACATGCTACATAGTTACGGATACGAGTAGCGTACGTAAGTTTATCTTTAGTGAGTAGTTACTATAGCTAATAGCAACAAGACCTAACCTGAAATGCAGCTTAAATAAAATGTTAAAATGTATTGTCGTGTACATTTATATACCTATATATATGTACACATATTGTAGAGAGAACAGGCCCCGGTTTCGACTGTGAATAACATTGAGCCAGCGTGAGGCAGCAGTATCATGAACATATGCGTGCTCAGTATACATATGCTCATGGTGGTATGAACCGCATATCTAGCCACATCGATCTTACACCTAGCCATACCAATTCTATAATTAGCGGTCGTCTTAACACCAGTCTATCGTACGATCATTGCAGAGAAGTGCTAGCGCAGCAAGTACGGGATGGAGAATCGCACGACATCTGCGTGCTCTGGAGCGCGACAGACGGCATATGGGTCATCTACGTCGACGCTGTGCTCGTCGGTAATGGGTCGGGCATCGCCGTCGACGAGGACATCGTCGGCGGCGCCACCGTCGTCGTCGGTCAGCGCGCGGGCGACGGCGAGTCAGCTTTCCGGCCGGACGAAGGCTTCCAGGGCTACCTGCGGGACGTGAACGTCTTTGTCGGGTGGCTGACGGCGGCGCGCGTGCAAGAGGTGCACGACGCCTGCGCTAGCGAGGGAGACGCGCTCGCCTGGGACGACCTCAGGTCGGCGGCCCTCCAGGGTGACGTGTCGCTGGCGGACGTTATCTGCGAGGCTGCCGTCACGCGGCCACCGGTGAACGCCTACCCGTACTACTACGGCGGCCGCACGGAAGCGACAACAACCAATGCCACCACGGAGATACCGACATACCGCCGCTACGGTTACCATCGCGACGACAAAACCACCACCACAAGCCGACCTAGGTATCGTCACAGGACTACAACAACTGAGAGACCAAGCTACCGTCGCTATAGTTACCGCCACAGGACAACAACAACTGAGAGACCAAGCTACCGTCGCTATGGTTACCCTCACAGGACAACAACAACTGAGAGACCAAGCTACCGTCGCTATAGTTACCGCCACAGAACAACAACAACTGAGAGACCAAGCTACCGTCGCTATGGTTACCGTCACAGGACGACAACAACTGAGAGACCAAGCTACCGTCGCTATGGATACCACCACAGCCACAGGACTACAACTGACAGACCGAGCTACCGTCGCTATGGATACCACCGCAGCAGCAGGACTACAACTAAAAGACCGAGCTATCGTCGCTATGGATACAGCAGTAAATCATCGGCAAAAAGATCAGGTTACCGTGGTTAGCCACAACTTGGCACACAAACAGATCAAACTATTACATCAATAAATAAGACAATTACACGAGTAACAATGAATTACCTAACAAATGTACAGCTACACCCCAAACTAACAACAGTAGGCACTGAGAAATATGCACAGGTTGCATAGACAATAGCTGATATTGAAACAAAGTTAAATTACACCAGAAAGTTCGAGTGTTGAAATAGAATAGTCCCAGACACATAAACAGTAATTATCATATTTAAGGTGACATCTACAAAAAAGTGATATGGCACGATTCAACTGTAATTACACTATTGTAGTCAATGTAATGTGTTAATTAAATTTAAAGTTTTTGCACTTTGTGTCGATAAAGTACTTCGTTGGTTACACTTAAAAAAGCAAATGCTATTAAACTGAACAGGAAAATGTTACCTATCCCGTTACAAATTGCAGTTTCGCTTATGTGGTAGACAATAATGTATTTTATTAAATAATAAATATTTACTTTGTTCTCATACGCATAAAACATGTTGTTGATGTGTTGATTTCAATTTTCAAATGAATAATCTGTTACCGGAATAGCTAGCTCTATCTAAAACAAAACACGATATCAAGACCACATAAACTATACGACGAGAAAAGAACACGGCAACATAAACATGAAATCAAGAACACATATTCTATATATAGTATATGTACATGTAACTTGGTCGCGTAATAACAGGCTATAAGGGCTTATGATGTGTTATATGAAAGATTACAAACTCATAAATATACCACGAGTATCTTAAAATGAGATGTATCCTGTATCAAACCGAAAAAATAACTACTGGACCCGCTAACCTTTGATAGAATCTGATCCAATTTCCACCAATCATAGCACACTCTCAGACAGGGCGGGTAAACCCATTCCTCATGAATTTATGCACAAAGAAGTAACCAGCAACATTAGGCGCGTTCACACTGGCGGGAATTAGCGGGATGCAAATCTCGGTTTTTGCATCGCGATCAAAATACCGAGATTTTTACAAGTGTGAACGCAAAAATCTCACTAAGTATCGCGATCAGCATCGCGCTCCAAATCGCACTTTTGACTGCGATTATTTGGAATTAG